CACTCACTTTAATGCTGTCATAAAATGCTATTTTTATAAAAACATTTAATTTATTCAAAGTCAAATATATTGAAAAGATAAAAATTAAAAAAAAGAAAAGGACTTGCCGTTTTATATCGAAAAATTCTAACATTTTCTTTGAAGAAGAAAAATACATTTATTTTTGTAAAAATAATTATTTATTTTCTATATATATACTCATATCCGACATCTCGAGGAAAAATCATTTTAGCAACTCCGGGATTCTGGACTCTATGAAGTGTACTGCTTTCTGAGAGCAAGTTTTCTTTCTTGCAGGAATATTGCAATGTTGAAACGACACTAAGAGCGATTCAACTACATTTGTATTGGACAAGAAGGCCTGTACAAAAGCAATTATGACCGAGATTCAAAGAAACCCCTTAGAGAGAAATTTAAAGAAAGAAATTTACTAACTTTGACCTCTCAGTATATTTACAAAAATTTTATGTATGTACACAAAAACAAAAATAGATTTATTGATAATAGTACGTAATAAAACATGCACAAGCTAGTTACGCGTTCACAATAATAACGTTTTAAAACTTTTATTTAACAAAAATTGTTTAATAAGGTTGGATACACTACTAAAAGTGCATGATTAATAATCCCTTGGAATGAGGTGATCGCTACCATGTTGTTTCTAAATGTTTTCATACTTAATTGTGTTTGTTGATAAATACAACAGGAGATAATTATTGATAAAAATAGTAAAAGTGTAAGTTTGCGGATGTTCAACTTGCTTTAGTGCTTAAGCAATAAATGTTTTTCTTATAGGACAAGGGCGATAAACGAGCACACAGTTCACCGTGATAGTAAGTTATACAACAGGAGATAATTATTGCTAAAATAGTAAAAGTGTAAGAGCGGATGTTCAACTTGCTTTAGAGCTTAAGCAATAAATGTTTTTTTTTAATAGGACAAGGGCGATAAATGTCGAGCACACAGTTCACCTGATAGTAAGTTATACAACAGGAGATAATTATTGCTAAAATAGTAAAAATTGTAATAGCGGATAAGTTGATACAAATTGCTTTGCAAGAGCTTAAGCGGCAATAAATGTTTTTTTATAGGACAAGGGCGATAAACGAGCACACAGTTCACCTGATAGTAAGTTATACAACAGGAGATAATTATTGCTAAAAATAGTAAAAGTGTAAGAGCGGATGTTCACTTGCTTTAGTGCTTACGCAATAAATGTTTTTTTATAGGACAAGGGCGATAAACGAGCACACCGTTCACCTGATAGTAAGTTGTTACTGTGGGGCATAGACACCTACATCTATCCCGATTAAGAATTTAAATGCAGATGCGTTGTCACCCGTGAGGACTAAGATGGAATGCCTCGTTTGAAGTAAAAAGGGTCTCCGGTTTCTACACTTATCATACGAAACACAGCAGCGTTGAGCTGCTATTTCACGCTGGTTTTCTGTGAGACCGTGGTTCTTCCCTGGTCGAGCCGACCTATTCATGCTACAACTTACTACTTACATAGCTCCAGCATGGCTCTATCATGTATAAAACGCAGTCTTATTATTATTAATAATAAGACATCGTAACGCACTATACATTTAGCACGGAGCAATTACACCGTAATATGTCCCAGTCACAATTACACACTGGTGTAACGTGAAGGATATAATTACACCAAATTATGCAAACCGACAACAACACCACCGATGTCGACGTAATACAGGATAACCTCTCAGCAACACCATCCTTTTGTCTGCATCTGAAGAACCACGACAACGGACGGAACCAAGACGCTGTGTTAGCACTTGTAGAATAACATCATTCCTAGAATAGCTTAAGCAGAAACTCTAGCACACGGCGTCTACAGTGAACTTATATACTGCACGAACGATTAGGGGTTTCGCGATGTACCCTCAATTCTACCACGCCACCATCAATATGACGCCCCGCTAGTGTGTCTATCTGAGCTGAGTGACGCTGAGTGACGCTACCTGTCGCTTACTCTTGATCCATCCAGTTGACATATAAAACATCATATTATAAACTTTTGTTTAAGAAAATAGTCACGCTGTGTTTCCTGTTGGTTCTTTCCAGGACAGAATTTTTTTATTCGAACCAGTAGAAAAGTTTAAATAACTTTCGGTAAGTATTCACGTAATCTAGTTTAAATAAAATGAATCTATTCTTTTCTTTTCTATTCTATTTGTCGACCAGTGTGAGGTTTTGCGTTATCATGGAGCGTTAATGGCGAAGATTGCTTGACGGGTCGGCTTTGTTTCTCTGAGAGTTTCGCCAACATTGTTTACAGTTCTTCACAATAGACATACATACATAAACACTCACGCCTGTCACCCAGAGGGGTAGGCAGAGACTACAGACTTCCATTTGGCACGATCCTGACACACCTCTCTCGCCTCCTTCGCATATATGCTCGTCGGTTAAGTGTACTCCTAATTTGGCCCATTTTCAATAAATCGCCAATTTGGTCGATAAATTTTCGCCTAGGACGTCCCTTTCCGACTCTGCCATTCACTTCTGCAACATAAATTTTCTTTGTCACTCTTTCCTCATTCATTCTTTCCACATGACCAAACCACCGAAGCATTTCTTTCTTAATCCTGGTCACGAAATCCTCTTGCATACCACACTTATCTCTTATCTTAGAGTAGAAAAATGCAATAATGCGTCTTAATTAGGGCTATCTGTACAGGTAAATTGTGTATAAGAGAAAGTGTTTGCAAGAGGATTTTGTGACCAGGATTAACAGCCCTAAAATACTCCTTAACGACCGCATTTCTACTGCGTTCATTCTACTCTCGTGCTTCTTCTGCCACACCCAACTTTCACTACCATACGTTAAAGTAGGGACCACCACAGCATTGTGAATTGCAAATACGTGCCATTTTTCGACACATTTTGCACTCTTCACAATCGTCGTTCTATATCCTTATCACATCTCCCATCCCTGCTAAATACGCAACCCCGATATACGAACTCATCTACTAAAATGTGTAGATCAACTCCCCTTCTACACTTATTTCACATATCGTCTTACTTTCTTCTCTTTCAAACTTTCATACCCCTTTCATTTAATGCAAACATCTGCTGATATTAATATACCGGATTTCGAAAAGCTACAGTGAATTACACAATGAAGTGAACACCAAACAGTTTTAATAACTTTCCTATGAATGAGGTTTGCTTTACAGTAAGTTACAACATTTTTCCGGTATTTTACCAGAGTTCTATCAGCGGTTTTTTCTTACGATGATTGTAAAGTATCCAATTTTTATCACACGACACAATTATGTTCAAAACACTTTAAATTCTGTACCTACTTCAAGCACATCAGTTAATTCATAAGGCCCCAGAACAAAGGAATCAATATCGCATAGTCCGTTAGTTAGTCGTATCCGTCTTTCTTACGTGAGAACCACGACGCGACGGTACTCATATTCGAAGATTTTTATACAGAAGGCCTTCATGTTTATCTCAAATGCTGAATGTAAAAATAATTGAACGTCAAACAATAGAACAGCATAAAATTTTACTGCCGTTGTCTCCATAACATGACATCAAGTGACATCCAATTTTGCGATCACTTACATTTACATTAGATTTATTTAAAGCCGCTTAAATGTTTCTGAACTAAAAACAAAAATTACACGTCACTTTTGATTTCAGATATAGTAAAAAAAGATTCTGGCTCTCATCGCTGACTTTTCGACTTCAAACGTGGATTAAAATTTACGATTCAAAATTTACATCCTGAGAAAATCTAATTTATTTTCTTGATTGTCTGATAGATTGACCTAAAAGTAGATCTTAAGATCTTAGAACAAAGAATTGTTATTTAGGTTATGTAGTTTTAAATTAGAAGGTATTTTACTCATTTTTGTGCATTTTGCGTGCAAAAATCGGAATCTGTTAACATTATGTGTTATTCATACATGACTTTGCAAATAAGTTCAAATCATCCCTTAAAATAACAAATCACAAAAATCTTTTTCAAGTTAAAGAAATGTGCTTATAATAGAAATGTTTATAACTTGAAATACATTATATTATGTGTAATAATAAGTAAACATATTTTTATTTTGCAAAATTCTATATATACCTAACGTAAACAAAATGTAACCTTAAATAACAATTAGTAAATCAGATACAATTAATGTTTATAGCTTCTTTGTTAATTACATTTACACTGTTAGTCCGGTTTCGGAGTTATTTTTCCAATCAGGTGACTTTAAGTGACTTCCGGGGATTATCATTGTGGTATAAAGGCATGCTTGCTTCTACTTTCTATTTATTGATGTTAACCTACGAATTCCAACGCTTCGATCTCATGCGGAAATATTTTTCCCTTTATTAATCACATTAGTGTTGACGCAGTACAAGATGAGTAAATAGAAAATTTCTTATTGCACAGGAAATATACAAGGTGAAATTAAAGCCATAATGGTGATCTCAGATTCAGCTTGTTAACTTTTGGTAGTATATTGAGAGCTATGGGTAGAGTAATTTAATCAGTATTATATACCCACCTAACCAGCGTTCAAATTATTTATGCCAGTTTGCATATTCTTGAAAAGGCCTATATTTAGCAGCGGGCTAAGGGAGGTTCTAAAAAAAGAAGAATAAACTAGCATAATTAACCACAACAACCTTGCGATTGCTGCCATTACACTAGTACCTTAGTCAAATAATCATGATGTACTACTACATTGGCTCCGATTTTTGAATACTTTTAAAATTAGTCAAGTGCATAGAATATTTCAGTGCCATAAGTGAAATATAATTATTACCAATAATGCATACTCGTATAATTAATTATTTTACAGAATACCTAGTCATTCCATATAATGCCGGGTCTGCTTAGGCAATATATAAAATATGTAATTTATCGTTTTACTCGCACAGGACCATTTGTTTAATCTTATTCCCGTAGGGCTTGTGTAAAATATTTGTTTAGAAATTGACAGTCCCTGTTGTGTCTATCCTTTGTCTTGTTACCTGTGCAATAAATGATAAGTAATAAATATATTTTTTGTGTAATATGATTTTGTACTTAGTATAATTTTACTTTATTTTAGATTCCAAGGACTTCAAACGAATGGAAAAGGTTGCAGATGGGTATATGGATAGACGGAATGTCCCTAAATTGTCTCGGATCTATGGACGAAAAATACATAAAAATTCGATGTCCACCAAGGACTGGAAGTGAATATTTTAATTATAAAACTTATTTCAGTATTGTACTGTTTGCAGATTCCAAGGACTTCAAACGAATGGAAAAAGTTGCAGATGGGTATATGGATAGACGGAATGGCCCTAAATTGTCTCTGATCTATGGACGAAAAATACATAGAAATTCGATGTCCACCAAGGACTGGAAGTTAATATTTTAATTATAAAACTTATTTCAGTATTGTACTGTTTGCATTAGTAGATGCAGATTTCAAGTTTTTATACGGTTATGTGGGATGTCAGATGGGTTCATTTTAGATGGTGGTGTTTTTAATAAGTAATAATTCTGCATTATGCAGAATGTTAAATAATGCCGGACAACAAACCTCTACCGGGAAGAAATGTAACAGTGCCATTTTTTGGGTGATGATGCTTTTGCATTACAACCTATTTCAGGTGAATGGCGCACTGTAACTTCTGAAACTGGTTGCTTTGTTGACTTGCCAAGAGACGATAATATAACTCTGTGTCATGAATATACAAAGAAGGATTTGGTTGAATATTTTCCCTCAGATGTCGGAAGTTTAGCATGGCAGTGTGACCAATGATCAATTCACTTAATAAGTTCGTTCGTCCTATAACTATTAATAGTTTGGTAACTCCACATGGTTTTATATAGAAAAGTAACTGTTTTTAAAACGTGTATAAAGTTTAATTAAAAAACATAACAATGGTAATTATATTTTAATTTGTGTTGGTAATAGTGATGCTTTCTTATGGTATAGGAATATTTTGGGCTTCATTAGGTCACTATGCATCGTTTTGAACACTTTCCCGAAAGTAGGAAACATCGCTATTAGTGAATCTTAATCATAACATTTCACAAGACAGATTTATATTGTTTCTCCTTATCTAAAGAAATAATGAGCTACTTATATTGAAATTATAACAATATTAAGAAGTAAAGGAAAAATAAGCATATTTTTATTTTAAGCATAATAATAATCACTATGGCTTCGCTACTTATATGTTCACCATTATAACTTTCATCAATCGGCACTGTTACCGAAGTTTCAACTCCTGGAGATAGTGGACGAAAGTTTGTGGTGTTGGAACATAGAGATGAAAATTTTGCATTTGGCTGATTATCAAAGACTGCGATAGTAGAATACTGATTATCAGGGCTTGCGATAGCAGAATATACAGATGATGAGCGATTAGAAAGGTTTTCATTCGGCTGATCATTGGAGAACCTGTATTAATATTCTGGATGACTACTACGCAAGCTAGAGGTTCTTGCGTAATCTGCATACATGCCTGTCTGATATCTAATTTCGGTTTCAAAAATAATATCATTAATTCGATGTCTTACTATCGCATTTGATGATTTATCCATATTACTAAGATTCGCTGCAATATATTCAGCAAAAACAGTGTCCTCACCTTTTTGTTTTATATATCCGATAGACCGATTTCATAAAATTCAGTGCTTGTGAAACTATTTCATGATTTGGACTTCTTCTTACACGTTTAATAGTTTCGTCGGCCTTTGAATCAGATGAATAATTTTGCTGGGAATTGGATGAATCATTTTGTTGGGGTTGTGCATTATTGCTCTCGTCTAGCAACTCCTGAAAATAAAATATTTATTATGCAATCAGTAAGTACAGAGTGAAGATAAATAATTTTGAATAGATTTAAATCAGATGTACTGGGTTTTGTGATTGTAACATCTCAATGTTATATCTCGTTATAAAGTTTAGATAAATTCACATTTTGTTTCTATCTATTTCATTCCGGTCCGAAATGATACCCATAAACCAAACCAAACCGAAAAATACCTTCATTACCATAAAAAATATCTATCCTACCAATATTATAAATGCGAAAGTTTGTGAGGATGGATGAATGGATGTATGAATGGACGTTTGTGTAGCTGGTTTGAGCTGGCGTGGATGGGCCGAGCGTGATTTGAAATTCGGATGACAAAATTTCTTTTCACGCTCAGCCCAAATTCGGTGTGGAAGGTCCGGATGGGCAAGAATATATTATGTGGTGAGAAATGACATATTTTTGTCGATACAATATTAAACTTATGGGCGAGATTTTTGTATGTTTTGCTTTTTTATAGGATAGGGTGACAAACGAGCACACAGTCCACCTGATGGTAAGTGTAACACAATCTTTATTACGATAAATGCAATTTTAAACCGCTTCCACACCACCAAAACACAGCAGCATCCTACCTTATATTCTTAACGTGGTCCTTCCCCGGTCGAGCCGACCAATTCGTACTACAGCTATACTACTGATGTAACTGCAGCATGGCTCTACCACGTACAATTTAAGTATTTAGTTAAGTTTAAAGAAATAAATATTCTATGTTTGCAGCAATAAAATTAAATATTGCTTTCATATAGGTTGTTAGGGTAAACACCGTTGTCTTTTAAACCCTGGATACATAACGCCAAAATATAATTATTTAAATTGGTTATAAAATATTAAGTTGTCAGTTTTAAAGAACTACCTACGCGACAGTCAGCGACCTGTACAACTGTCTTGGTTTCGTGATTTGGCACATGTTGCCCCAGTAACTACTCTAAACTACTTTTATGCTGCACGATTCCTGTGGAATAAAAAATAATAGTCCACGAGAAGGAACGTGCGGGCATTCGCTAGTATTACCATCAAATTTATAGGTATATTTTTTTTACTTACAGTATCGATCGTTGCAGTAAGACTATTGTTGTTTGCAAAAAAAAACTAAACCATTTATATGCAAATCAATTGCTTTCATAAACAGTATCTATTCCGATACCCAACTTTTTTGAGTCAATCACTTTTCCTCTCTCTATAAAACTAACTTGTCAAGTTTTTAATTTTTCTTTCTATTTCTGTTACATTTGTGTTATAATGGCTTGCTATGACATTCAATTAATCGAAACGCTTTGGACGACTTTTATAATCTCTGTGTTTCGGAGTCCATTTGTATAGAATGCCTAGGTAAAGCGGATATAACACCAAACTTCTTCGATCTTAAACCGGCAAATTATTTAATAAGAGGTAACGGAATGTGTTGCTTGATTGTTTCTTCACTTTGCCATTTTTCCTTTATAAATTTGTGAAACATCGTTCGTTAGTTTCGACTGTTTGTTTCAATTTTACTGGATAATAATTTAAGTCAGATTCTACTACTGCTGGTTACCGATATGTTATTAAAAACTTAACTGTTCACTTTTAAAGCTGTGATTGGGTGCGTTTGGCAGAAAAAAAGCGCTAGCAAGCGCTTGTAAGCAAAATGGCGATCGTAAGCAGTAAGCGCTGTCAAATCGTAAGTAGCTATTTTCCTCTAGGACACGAAGTCAGTTTTAACCGGGGAACCTAACTTAATTTAAATATATATGTTTGTGAAGTATTCATATTAAAAACTTACCAATCATAAATTTTTAATAACATTTATATGTCTATTCATGTCATTATATTACTTAAAACTAATATTGCACAAAACAATTTATAAATTCTTTATAACTTCAAAACAAACAAATTAAATAAGCAAAATGGCGGATTGTGTCAGCGCTACTGAACTTAGGAACGTGTCCTGGCCGAAAACTGTTTAGTTTCGCCATTTTGCTTACAAGCGCTTGCTATAGCTTTTTTCTGCCAAACCCAGATAGATCAAGAGCTAAGCGCTCGCTATACATTTCACAGTACGCGTAGGTACAAACCGGGTTCGATCGTCGCGCGCATTGATGAAATTGCTAACTTCAATCTTTGGTGCTGATTTACTATTCACCAATTTAAATTTTTGTGCTGATTTATATTGATACGTGCTCATCGGTGAAGGAACAAAAGTTGTGAGAAAACCTGCATGTCTAAGTAATTAAAAAAATATTTCAAAGACATGATTTATTAATATGAAGATTTGATTTTGAGACGACTGGAAACGTGGCCAGATAATGCAACTTGAGTTGGCGAAGGTGTTCGAAAATCAGTGTTTAGCAAGTATTTATGAACGGAGTGTCGGTCATAGGCAACCGAGAGAGATATGCCTAACAAAACACCGAAGTAATCCGAGATATTTAAATTACAACCAATCAGTTACAGCACACATTGGAAGATTGGCAAGGTAATTAATACACCATTAATCCACCCTTAAAAACTCGGATATACATAAAAGGATAGCCGAAGAATATAAGTTAAATCAAATTCAGGTGAAACTTTTTAACGTGCAATATATCTTTACCATCTAGAGATTAACGATGACCAATGGGTCATCTTTCATCGTCAGCATCAGCAGCCAGAGCAAAAACAAAAGTCAAAGTGTGGACCAGTGGTTGCAAATTATGCTTAGGATAAATAGGCATAAATGCGATATGGCATCCACTAACAGTTAGCTGGACTGTGTGCTCGTTTGACGACTCTTTTGTTTTTTTATAAGCAGCTTTTCAGGTCTTGCAATGCCAGTGTTACTGTGATCAGTATGATCTTAAGCCTTTAAAGGAGATATATTATATATTATAATTATATATTGTATATTGACTGTAAAGTTTTCACTTCCTCTGGGCTTAGTAAGTATATACATAGATGTCTTGCGTTGGATTAGGCTGTGCAGACGGGGGGACTGAGACGTTTGACGTACTGGTGTCATAGTTAACGAAGGGTACCTTCAAGTTTTATTTATGTATTAATCTTTATTCTAACTAAAAATTTAGTCCAGCTGATTACTTCAAGAAGGGCATCAATAATCTGCCACTGCGATGGCAAAGATGCATCAATTGCATGAGTAAAAAATATAGAAAAACATAGAGTAACTTGTTTCGTGAAGAACGGTGATTTCATAGTTATACACATAATAGCAGAAAACCAAAAATAGTTCTAGGTAAAAAAGGCCGGCAAGCCGAAGTCGATTTGAATCGAAGTCAGGTTTTTATGCTCAAATGAACTTAGGCCTTTAAAATAAAATATGCTTATGCACCATTTGTTTTATATCTAATATCATTGAAAAATCGGCCCTTTGTCTGATTAGACCAAAATATCTATCAAAAATACTGTTTCCGCCCGGGATCGAACCGGGGACCTTGTGCGTGTGAAGCACACGTGATAACCGCTACACTACGGAAACATTAATACAGTGTTCGAATAATTCCATTACATACATATGCCTTAATATCTCGATTATGATTTCACTGATCGATAAAGATCTCAACTCTTGATAATATAACACAAACATCACCGAATATAGTTCAGTGAAGTTTTAAGCTAATCTCGATGGTTGATGGCGTGTGCTGTGTATACATCTTACCTAAAATTAAATAAGGTTATAATTTTTTTAATACCAAACTAATTTGGGTTTGTTAAAGATAAATAATATTTCACGTTAATAACCAAATTATGACGAATCGGGTTTAATGAAAAATGCGAAATTTCAAAATGCAATTTTATCACCTCCACCACGCATACGACGAAAGCGAAGTCCAAAGATCTTGATGAGTCAACTCGTATTTTCAAACGAATGTCAGATTTTTAATATAATAAATCTTAATATAAATATATAAATTACGTGTCACGTTGTTTGTGCGCGATAGACTCCTAAACTACTTTACCGATTTTAATAAAATTTGCACACCGTGTGCAGTTTGGTCCAACTTGAGAGATATTTTTGCCCATGAGTGACCACAATTTTTATCTTTTGCGAATTTAAGGATTTTTAATAGGATATGACAAAAAGGGTCGTCGAAAAGGGCGGAACAACGTCTGCCTAGCAAGCTAGTAAATTATATTATTTACTATACAGTTGGAGTAAGTATTGCAGCAGTGGATTTGTCATGGGCTGTAATGATAATTATGCATATGATTATTATTATTTAAATTTTTCATACGAGGGTGGATTGAAAAGTACTCGGCCTAACACAGATCCATTCAATTCTAAAAATCAAATCTACCCACATTATTTAGTTCAGTTCAGACTAGCTCATTGTGTGAAGTTCGAAACGTGTGCGATAATTAGTTGTGATTTTATAAATTTATTAACAAAGTAATCGGACATAATTTCCGCGAATGGAGCAAATCGAGCAGCGTGCCGTCATTAAGTACCTCCATAAGAAGGGGCTATCATCAAAAGCCATCCATGATGACATGGACAGTACATTAGGCGATTGTGCTCTGTCATATTCATCCGTCAAAAAATGGATAGCAGAATTTAAGCGTGGTAAGAGAGTGTGAAAAATGAACCCCACTCTGGAAGGCCTTCGACGTCAACTACTGACGAAAATATTAAAAAAGTACTTGATTTAATAATGGGAGACCGCAGATTAAAAATTAGAGAGATAGCCGAGATTATAGGCATCTCTTATGAACGAACTCAAAACATCATTGTCAACGAGTTGGGTTTCCACAAGGTGTATGCGAGGTGGGTTCCGCGACTGCTTTCAGTTGAACAAAAAAGGACGCGATTGACTATTTCACGCGACTGTTTGGAGTTATTTGAAGCCGATGCAGATGATTTTTTGAATCGTTTTGTTACTATGGACGAAACATGGGTTCATTACTGTACACCGGAAACAAAACAACAATCAAAACAGTGGAGAAGACCTGGTTCACCACCCCCTAAAAAAGGCTAAGTCGATTTTGTCGGCAAATAAGGTGATGGCTCCAGTATTCTGGGACTCGAAAGGTGTGATTATGATTGATTATCTTGAAAGGGGTCAGACTATAAACTCTGATTACTACTGCACCTTACTACGTCATTTACGAGAGGAAATAAAAGAAAAACGTCGAGGAATGCTCAGAAGAAAAGTCCTGTTTCATCAAGATAACGCCCGTGTTCACACGTCAGTACAGTCAATAGCTGAAA